GCCCCGCCCCCTTTCATCGTCAAAATTTTTCATCGAAAAATTAGACTGAACGATGATTTCAGCTTGTTTACCATTTGTTTTGAAAATCTGATATTTTTTTTCGAAAAATCCATAAAATTTTCGATTGAAACAATAAGAAACAAAAAATTAACACTTAGAACATTCATTTCTCGTGATTCAAAAATAAAAATAAAGAATTGAAAAGACTTGGACATGAATGTAAAATAACATTGAAATTTGTGATTTAACTATTAAGTAGGGAATAGGAATATTCAAATTCAAAATTTCCATATTTATCATAGTTACATTGTAACACAGTTACTGTGGCTAAGCGGTAATAATTCAGTCTAGAGAGAACCAGACTATAAAACAGCATTTTTATTGCGGAGATGTTATCAAATGTTTAAAAGGTCAGAAAAATGTTATTCGAGGTTATTATTATTAGGGGTCATTGAGAATGTTGAATATTAATTGGATAGGAAGACGCAGTTTTCATGTTGCTCATCAAGAATTGAAAACTGGTAGACCCAGATGAGGTGATCTGACTTGAAGATTAGTTTTTCATTCATATTAATGGAGGTGATAAAAAAATTAAGTAGTTGTTCAATCAAGTGATTGATCTCGCGTCGATCATTACTGTCGACAGATCAAATTCCACTGGTAACTTTCAAATAGCCTCCACGAGGCCCTCAAAACATTTCAGCAAAACGCGATTTTCGGGCATAAAAAAAGTTTTTTACTGCGTGCCTCATGAATAATGAATCCTATTCTCCTTCCAGAAGATCTGAGTCTCTTCTTCGGACCCAGGATCATTGAAAGCCCCCACATCACATTAGTGAAGCATTCCATATGCGGAAGTCACATTACCGAGATAAGCCAATGAGGAGAACGAAAACTTCTGGTTGTGGTTCTGATTCTATTCATTGTTCTAATTGCGATGATGGAAGTGTAAACAGGTTCAGCAGTTTTTGTGCTGGTGTAATGGGACCTGGAGACTTCCAGATCCAAGGGAGCTGTGGTTGACTAGTTGTTTTCTTGATTATGAGTGGTTCCCGGTGTCGAACGCTTATTCAGAGATTCTAGTGATGTTTTTTATAGTCAGAAATTGTTTCAAGGAGAATTTAATGATAGTTTAGGATGTAATTGCATTGTTGTACATAGTTTCGTGCTTATTGAATTAAATTGAATGATTTTTGAGGTGTTTTTTCTTTCTTTGTTAGGGGATTTTTACACAGATCTTGATCTTTGACCCTTCAGAGGCCTCGAAAGATGAAAAAATCTTAAAGATGGCTTAAAAAATTTGTTCATTTTATAGGAACTGATTGAAGTGAATTGAGAGCAATATCAAGGGGATGAATAATTTCAAGAATGGTTAAAAATTCGAGGTGGAGCCGCCGCCATCACTAATTGTTCTCTTAATTGAATGATTTTCATTCAATTAAGAGATTATTGAATTAGGGGGATTTCTGACCCTTATCTTAACCCTCATTTTTTACCCTCATGACTCTTATTCTTATATTTTGACCTTCATATATTGACCCTTACATTTTGACCCTTAGGTTTGACCCTTACAAAAATTGAATGTCGAAATGTCGAAATGTCAAAATGTCATACTATCAAAATTTGAAAATGTCAAAATTTAACATTTGACATTTTGACATTTGACATTACGACAAAAAATAAGGCCCCGAAATAACTGTCAGAATAAGTGTTATAATTTTCTCAGCCAAAAGAGGATGGAAAAATCTGAAAGATGACTTAGAAAATTTGTTCTTTTTATAGAAACCGATTGAAGCCCATTGAGGGTTATCTGAATAGGATAAATAGTTTTAAAAAATGTTTAAAAATACGAGGTGGATGCACCGCCATCTTGAAGGCCTCCTGCGGCAGGGGGAGGAGGTATCCAAACAAGATGGAGGCGCCCACACGTGGCAACCACCTCGTACTTTTAAACATTTCCTAAAATTATTTATTCCCTTCAGATCAGCTTGAACTCGTTTCACCCAGTACCTAGAAAATGAACGAATATTTCAAACTATCCTCCCGATTTTTTCATCCTCTTTTGACTGAGAATTCACGGGACAAATGTTCCGAAAGACGAGAACAATACGAATGAACAAAAAAATGAAATGAAGACGAAATAAAATGCTTCATTCACCTCACGAAATCACGAGAATATTCAGACATTGATCATGACTTGTCCTTGATGAAGGCACTGACACGTCGTTCATAGAACACTTGTCATTCACCACAAAAGAATTATTCAGAGAGATGAACGAGCTACTGGATTTATTATCACTCGTGGGATGCATCAGCATGAAATAAAAGGAGCCTATGGAAAAAAAATCTTGTTTCTAAATTGCGGATACGTGAGGGTCAAAAGTCGCATGGTAATGCAGCCACGTACCTTTAATTGAATCCAGAATCTCTGAAAAATGGGACAACACGCAGTCGCAGTGTGAGAATCAAATAACAATGGGTTGTTTTCGCATTTTGGTTTTTTCAAAAGAAAAATAAAACATTTGATATGGAAACATGCCACATCTATTATTCATACTGCATGACTGGGGTCAAATGAACAGATGATTTCATGTTTTATCATTTTGTTTATTTTATGAAAAATTCATTTTAAAAATATAAGTTGGAAAGTTCTACCTTGAATTTAGACATAATTAGAGATGAATTGGTGAATGAAAAACAAAAATATCATGAGATGTTCTCTCAGTCGTTCTCTAATTGTTGGGACTTTTCTTTTTTTCTTTCATTATTTTTACATGATCACCTTCGCCACGTCTGTTGAGTCGAGTGGCTATCTCCTGATTTTTCCTTTTATGAAGCCGAGGAATTTATTTGTCATCACTAATGGCCTCTGTCTGCCCTTGCACACTCGTTTCAGGTCATTACTTTGTTCGGAGATGTCGAGATACTTTTTTTTCCTCGTGGTTATTTTTAGTTCTGTGGTTTTTGAGGTCTGGAAGAGAAATTTTTGATGGAGAAATTATCGGGACTCTCGGTTTCCAATCACTCAATCAAGGAGTTTACAGTCTTCAATCGCTATTTTACGAATATCTGGAAAACTACTGGGTTTAGGAAAAAATGTGAGAATACATTTTTTGTGGGGAATGACATTTTCTACAAAAAGTGTCTTTGACGTTTTTCGATCAACCCAGTGGTTCCAGAGATATCCGCGGAATTCAGTTCTGTAAAAAAAACAATATCATCACAATCCTTTCACTCTTCTTCAATTATTTTACTACAAAAAAAAACGGAAATTCATCTCGTGAGGATGAAGAATCAAGGTGATACTGATTATGGTTCCAACTCATGAATATTAAAAATAGTACGATGATCGAATAAATGTTCATTATCAGCAATGAAAAATAACGAGTTACGTGGCAACGAGTTATAAAATTGTTTTAACGGCTTCCTGATTGCAAATGAGAGTGATCAATTAGAGGACTTCGTCCAAGACTTTAATGATAAAATGCGTAATAATTTTTTTGATTGTTTACGATGTTTTCATCCACCGGTTTTCCATCGACAAGAAGCCAGTAGTAAAAGAACATTTGTTCAATAATGTCTTTATGGCTTTTAATTCCATCGACTAAAAAATTTTAGACAATGGGAAATTTTATCGACTTTTTCCACTATTCTTGACCCTTCTGACCCCAAATTTACGTCCATAAAAATGGCAATTCGAATAGAAGTCTCATTCTCACGTCATTGAATAAAAATACAGCAGAAGAGGGATATCAGGTCAGTAAAATCACAAAATCCACAATTTCATTTCTCTCCATCTTCACATTGTTTTTTTTTCTCATCAATAAAATTTATTTAAGAATTCTAAATAAATTAAAATACATGGCAACTGGGTACACAAATCGTCGATTGAGCTATATTTTTGTTCAAAAACAAAAATTGTCCCTTGCAATAATAAAAAAAAAGAAGAAAAAAATGTTTCCTTTCCTTGACAAAGAAAATGAAAGAAATCTCATAATTCTCATAACTAATAATTAATTAATTGGTAATAAAAATTAATAATTAAATCGATAATTGATAATGAACGTTGACAATATTGATATCATCGTTAATTAATAGTTTTCATAATTATCCTCCCTCAGGCATGCCTTCACTGATTTTATTTTCTTATCCTCATGTCTTTCAATTTCATTTTATTTACAAATTATGCGAGAGATATGTTTTAAACGTAATTACTTCGATGGTAAATTTTATTAATTAAATTTTCTTGCAATTTTTCTTTCATTTTTAATTATCTCATTGCATTTGCCTATCAGAGCCCATTCAACATCAGAGATCAGTATTTCTTGGATTTTTTCGTTTTTCTTTTGATAATAAATTTTCAAGGAAAAAATCAAATGTTTCATTTTGCATTGATAATCAATTATTTATGCAATTTTTCTCGTCGATTGCGAGGCTCGAGGGTTCATTCAACTAACTAAGTACTTTTTACTTCAATTAATTCATTGAAGTTGAATTTTTTTTGTTAAAAAAAATTGTCAACTAGTGTGTAGTTAATCAGTGGAACTGCTGAATAATTTATTCTGCAGTTTTTTACTGCATAAGTGACGATGAATTGAGTCGGGGGATTCTCGTGTCTTCGCAATTGTCTCGTTGGGCACTAATTATGTACAAATTATACGAACACTGCGAATTCATTAACGAGAGTCACTCATTTATGATTTTTGCATTGAATTGTTGTGTTTTTTGTCAAGGATGAAGTGAGAATCTCTGAGTGATGATTTATTAATGAATTTTTGTTGTTGAAGAGCTGAACAGACAATTGATCTATTGAAAAAATGGATGAGAGGAAAAAAGTTGAGTTGGTGTTTGGGAGTTATCTTGGGAACGAAGGGCGATACAACCATTTGTGTTAAAATATTTTTTGTAAGAAATTTCAAGACCTACAAAAAATATTTCGACACAAATCGTCGTATCTCTCACGAATCTCAAGATATTTTCAAAAATCTAAACGAAAATTAGTTGAAATGAACTTTGTCCGTTGAAATCATTAAATAATAACTCAAATAATCCTCCTGGAATTGAATTTCTTTCACAAGAGTCTCTCACTCATGATTCTTTCCAGAGTTCATAGAGTGAAAATCTCTGAATGATTTATTGATGAATTTTTGTTGTTAAATAATTGAACATTCAGTTAATCTAGAGAAAAAACTGGTGAGAGTTAAAAGTTGAGTGTTTTTTTGGAAATAACTTGGGAACGAAAGCAGATACGACAATTTCTGTCAAAACCTTTTTTGCAGGAAATTTCATGACCTACAAAAAAGGTCCTGATACAAATCATCGTATCTCCCATAAATCCCGAGATATTCTCAAAAAACTGAACGATTATCAGCTGAAATGGCCTTTTTCCATGAAAATCATTAACTAATGACTCGATTAATCCTCTTCAAATCAGTTTCTCCAGCTCTTCAGCAACCATCCCCTTCCACCCACACTCCAGGTCTGATTTAACCGAACAATTAGTACGTCTTAAGTACAAAATAATGAGAAAAATAGTTGAAATGATGATTCTCACGAGCCTCATCGACGATTAATCAACAATCTCGAAACGACAGTGATGCCTCTGGGCGCCTCATTAAATTGTCCTTAACTGATATTTATATACAACCGTCTCACCACCCCCAATCACTCGTCAATTCTCCTCTCACTCACTCTCATTCTCTAGAATTCACATTTTTCATGTATTTACGTTGTGCTTTCACTTTTAATCATTCACATTCTAACTACCACGCATCTACAATCGTAAACTTAACGGATCGTAGTGTATACAAGTAATACAAGTCCAAGGATTATTGTTTTTTCAATGAAATACAAGATGAAGGGGAAGTTCGAATTCTGTGATTTATTGGAATCAGGATTTTTGGGTCTCCAGACACCTCTTCGAGGATATCTTTGAAACTGCTGGGTTTAGGGGAAAATGTCAGAGAACATTTTTTGTGGGAAATAAAATTATCTACAAAAAATGGCTGTGGCGTTTTTCGATCAGCCCAGTGGTTCCAGAGATATCCGTGAAATTCTGTTCTGCAGTTTATTAAAATGAAAACCCCAGTCTTTTATTCATTTCAATCAATAATCTTGATTGAACAGATAGAAATAATTCCCTCAAACCCCCCAAAATCATCAATATCTTCACTGTACAAGTCAACAATGACTCTTGTGCACAAATAATCCTGACGATTTAACGATTTAATTCACAGAATAAAACCAGAACTTGTAATTAACTACAGCAAGGATTTCAGAGTCTTCAATCACAATTTTTCGAATATCTCTGAAACTACTGGGTTTACAGCAAAACCCCAGGAAACATTTTTTATGGGGGATTAAATTCGCTACAAAAAGTGTCTCTGACGTTTTTCGATCAACCCAGTGGTTCCTAAGATATCCGCAAAATTAAGTTTTGCAGTTCATCAAAATGAAAACTCGAGACCCTTTTATTTCATCTCAATTGATGATCTCATTAAAAAAACCGATGTAAAATCATCAACACCTTCACTGGACAGTCTCCCCTCCTCCAATAATAATAAATAAAAAGAACAATACCATAACATAATCCTCTCATTCCAAAAAATCACAAAATTCTCTCATTTTCTAATGATCCTGGGGGTCTCAGTGGTAATAAAATCGTCATCACTATTTTATCATCGAAAGGAGGAACCACATTTCAATTATTTCATCATTTTTTTTTTCATCTTTCGCTATTTATAAAAATAATTTTAAGCCGCCGTATTTTATATTAGCAATATTATCGTTTATTATTAAATCGTTTTGTTTATTTTCTCTCCTAAAAAGACCACAACTATAATTAAACGTGTGTGTGTGTGTGTGGGTTTTCAATTAATCATTTTTTTCCCTCTCGTTTCATCATTTTCAATTAAAAACTACTCATTTTTCCTTATGCACTTTAAAACTTAAAAAAACATTTTTTTTTGTTTGCACATACACTTTTCTCATTAAATGGGTCTTTTATCTAATCACTTTAATCAATCTCTTCATTTTAATCTTTGTTATCAACTTCATCAATTTTCATTCATTAATTTATTTATATTTATATATATATTTGTATATATGGATTTTATCATGTGGGCGTCATTGGAGGTTTTCATCATAATTTTTCATTTTTTTCGACACACAAATCTACAGTTCCAATGTAGGAGGTGTCTTGTAATTTTTTTCCTGCATTTAAAATTGAATTTTTGCCTTCAAAATACATCACTTCAATTTATGCTTTTTAATGTGCAATTTTCACGTCAAAAATTTTATTTTTGCATTGAAAAACAAAGTTTTGGCTGGAAAAATCCATTTTTTTCATCAAAAATCGATTTTTCAATCCAAATAAATGGAAAAAATTCTAAATTTAAGTGTTGATATTTTTTCATCATCAAAAATTCAATTTTAATCTCGAAAAGTCATCTGATATGTCAATCTGACAAAGTGAATTGAAGGATAGAAAAATTCCGTTTATTTGTCTCATTAACCATTAATCATTTAAAATTCCTCATCAATAATACTTATTTATTGTCGTTCAAAATAAACGGTAATTTTCCCCAGAGACCCGATGCACTCACGTAAAGAGAGAGAGAGAGAGAAAAAAAAATCCTGATTACGTTGAATTAATAAATTCCCCCTCGAATGATGTAAAAAATTGATAAAATGATATCAAAATGAAAGAAATAAACGAAAAAGAGCACCCGCGCACGTCTCATAGTCACCCAGGCCTTCCAAACTCTATATACCATTGGCATATATACTTCAGAGTCTCATATATGTCTATATGATATAATTTTTTTTTTTATTTCAATTTTCATGTCATTCCTTAGGTTCTCTCGTTATTATTCGAGAGTTAAGTTCGTTCAACGATTTTACAGGCTAACTGGACCTGACTGCACACGAGTTTTAACACAGAACAACGCCGGAGGTGAACCTCTGCTACTGGGGCTGGGCAGGATTGTGCTGAAGTGATGGTGGTGGTCCCTGAAATATTTTCATTATAATTTATTAAAAATGTTCAAAAAAATTTTGCTGATGAGAAAAAACCAGTGGGAAAGTGGAGAGCTCTGAAATAGTGGACTTTTGTAGTCATAATGATATTGAATTATCTCATTTGATCTGTCTAAAGACAAAATAAAAACTTCTGTCTCCTCGTACAATTAAGGGGCGATGGGTTTTTTAATTCGTGAGCTATTGGAGTGAGATTTATCATGCATTGAAGATCAATTGTATATCTCTAAAAACGAATCATTAGTGCAAAAAAATAATTGTTGATTATTTGGAGCTAGAGGTTTTTTTCAAAATGTTTGAAAAAAAGTGTCCATTGGCAATTACGAGTGAGTTTGTTGAAATTCGACTCCTACATAGCTGATAATTTTATTTTTCATGTGGATACGTCTATTTTTTCATTATGGGGGGGGGGGCATTTAGGAAAAAGTCCTTATGGTTCCTTATCGGCAGTGGCACCATCTACCGGAATTCTAGAAGTTTCTGTATTTTTCTAGAAAATTGTGGATTTTTCTAGAAAATTTCAGATTTTTCTAGAAAATTCTCCAGTTTTTCTAGATATAAATTACAATTTTGAGGGCTCTTTAGCGCTGGTCGGCAATCGGTTATTGATGCACAAAAGAAATCAAATTTGTAGAGCACAAATTTCGGATGTGAAGATTCAGCCACCCGCAGATTTTTTTATTTACAAAATTGCACGATTCATGTAAAATAACCAGAGAAATTAAGCATCAAAATATTTAAAACATATTCTCGATTCTCTCAGAAACATTTTGCTATTTTACATGAATGGTGCAATTTTTTACATCTAAAGAAAACGAAATTAGCTGTGCAGGAGTCGAATTTAAAAAAGACTAGCTCATAATTGTTATTGTATATATTTTTTCAAACATTTTGAAAAAAAAAAATCTGCAGTACGAGCTTCTGTAGCTCATTGGAGACCCTGGACTATTTTAATCATTTAAGCAGCTACGGGTGAAACAAATAATAAACAATTAATTTTTTTGCACTAATTATTCGTTTTTATAAACATATAATCAGTCTTCAATGCATGAAAAATCTCACTCCAACAGCTCCGATAGCCCTTGAACAATTAATACTCACAGGCATGGCAGGGAAGGGAGGTTGTGAGTGCGCGTGTGGATGAGAATGTGGATGAGTTATGTGTGCAGCAAGATGCCCTGGCAGTTTAGGACCATCCTCAGCCTTTTCCTCTTCTCGTCTTTTCAGACACGCCGCTTTTGGATTTAAATTCCTCTCTGAAAAAACAATACCAAAATTAATAAAATACTGATAAAATTCACCTAAATTTTTACCGATTGATTCATCAATTAGTTAATTAATTATATTTTGTTGTAAATTATTTTATTCTAAATTAAAATAAAAATAAAATGCTGATGAAATTAAATTCAATTCAATTTTTTTTGCAGATTGATTAGCTAATTCATTAAGGCCCGGGTGTACTATCTTTTGAACGTTATCTCGATATTTATTTCATCTTTCGTCATCGGAAATTGTCAATTGAGTCCAGCATCATGCAGAAGTTTTGAAAAAGTATGAATGAATAATCAAAAAAAAGTAGAAGAAATTCTTAATTTTTCCATAGAACTTTTTTAATTTATATTCAGAATAAGTTGAATAACAAAAAATTGAAAAATGTATCTGATTTACGGTGACACATGGCGGCCTGTCACCCAATATCAATATGCAGGGAGAAGACTGATTTCGTAAATCTTTTCCCACACTGCACAGAGACATTCATTACGGAAAAGGCTCTTTGAAAAAAGTTGTCATATTTTGGAAAAATTTTTAATCACACTTTTATCACATAAAAATGCCAGATGACTACATACCACTGTTTTGAAAATTGAGATACCTAGCTATTACTTCCCATGAGGAGTTAGTGTTTTGTTATCCACCATGGAAAATGACAGCTAATAGATAATTTGCCCCTGCGAATCAGATATTTGTAACTTCCACTTTTTTCAACTCATTCTAAATCTCAATTAAAAACGCTCTTTGAAAAAGTGTCGAATTTTTTCTTTTTTTTTATCATTCTATCATAATTTTTGGGAATTTCTACAAGTTGTACCACCCAATTGACAATTTTGGATTACGAAAGATGAAGAAATCCAGATAGTACACCCGGGCCTCAACTAATCGTATTTTTCGGTAATTTATTTTTTTACAGACTAGATTTGTCCGGGTGCTAGCTGAGGAAAATTTGATGGATCATTTTGTCAACGTGTTAACCATCAATAATATATTACGTAGAATTATACAGTAGCATAAATATGACATAATTTGAGTGACATTATTATTTTTTTACAATACCATTCCTAAAGTATATATATACTCTAACGAAATAATACGCCGAATAGATGGGCTTCAAAAAACGTTACACTGAATTTTTTATTAAAGAATTAATATAATGAATAAAATAATGTCTAAATTCTCTATTTTACCTCTAACTTGTTGCTCCAGGGTCATAATAACCTCCACCGCCATATTGAGAATCCCGAGCTTGGTCTGTGGCTTGTCTGTCTTCAGGTGAGTCATACACATTCTTCCGAGCTCCTTCAATGCTTCATTAATATCCCTTATACGTATCCTGGATAATTAAAAAATCGAGAGAATGATTAGAAAAAAAATATAGACAATCGTGAGAAGTTTCTTGGTAATGTCAAGCCATTTTAGTTGACACAAAGAGAGAATTTTTTATTCTTAGGAGTTGGAATAAAACTACTGAAATGCGGAGAAGACTTTGCACTACGAATTCTCAGTGAAAAGAGATTTAAAAAATCTGAAGGACAGCTTGAAAAAATTATGAAGTGGTCTGAAGAGGATAAATAATTTTAATAAATATTCAAAACGTCATAACTAATACTTGATTGATTCGTAATAAAAATTAGTAATAATTTAATTGATAGTTGATAATGAACGTTGACAATACTGATATCATCGTTAATTAATAGTTTTCATAATTATCCTCCCGCAAGAATGCCTCCACTGATTTCATTTTCTTATCCTCACGTTATTTAATTTCATTTTATTTAAAAATTATGCGAGAGATATGTTTTAAACGTAATTACTTCGATGGTTAATTTGATTAATTAAATGTTCAAGTAAATTTTTCGCATTTTTAATTATCTCACTGCATTTCATTCAACATCACAGATCAGTTTCTTGGATTTTTTCGGTTTTCTTTTGATCATAAATTATCAAGGAAAAATCACAAGTTTTATTTTTCATTAATAATCAATTATTTATGCAATTTCTTCGTTGATTGTGAGGCTCGAGGGCTCATTCAACTAACTAAATACTTTTTATTTCAATTAATTCATTGAAGTTGAATTTTTTTGTTAAACAAAATTTTCAATCAGTCTGCAATCAATTAATGAAGTTAATAATTTATTCTGTGGGTTTTTACTGCATAAATGAATTGACAAATTTCCAAAATGGCGGCCCGTCCACCTCGTATTTTTAAACATTCATTTCAATTATTTATCCCCTTTAGATCACCCTCAACTTGTTTCATCCGGTTTTTACAATATGAACAAATTTTTTAAGCCATCTTTCAGATTTTTTCAGCCCCCTCCGGCTGAGAATTCATGGCGCAAAGTTTTCTCTGCATTTCAGTATCTTTCTTTACTCCCAAAACCTCTTATTTATTGATTTTATTTTGTTGTATTATTAATCCCTTCATATACATATTAAAATTAAGATTAAATATATGCAAATAACTAACATACTTGACATTTTTTTTCAAAATTCATAGGTTAGCAAGGCCTCTTAAATCTGTAAATTTGTCAAATTGTTCGCGTGGAAATCATCGGGACGATCTTCGATTTTGTATGCAGAATACGGGCCATTGAAAATTAATTCCTGATTTTCTATGTCTGTCTGTTGAGGTTTTTTTCCCGCGATTTTTATCCGGTTCTTACCTCTCCCTGGCATTATTAGCCTGCCGCCTCTCTTTTTCCCGTTGTGCCTTCACATCAGGATCATCATCCTCGTCTTCAGCGCTCGAACAACAGTTGCGCAATAACAATACTCGATTAATCACCTGATTAATGATGTTTGTTAACTTACGAACTAAATTGAATAGTCATTATCTCTTCAATTTTTTCAATTATTCAATTAATTCCTCAATTAATCAAGCAGTAAGAGGGTTGAAGCAAAAAATTTTCCACATTTCACTTTTTTCGTCAACAATATTTCACGAATTTTTCGGAGTCTATGGGAGTTACGCCCAATTGCGTCAAAACCTTTTTTGTAGCCCTTGAAATTCTCTGTAAAGAAGGTACTAATGAAAAATGTCGTAAGTCCCATAGATTCAAAAATATTCAGCGAAAACTGAGGATTGAAAATTAGTGGATTTAAATTGTTTCATCACTTTACTACGTAATTGTTGATCAATGGTAATTAATTGATGAAGATTGTTGTTTCGAACGGTCTCGGGACGATTCCTTAATGAACACACGCAGGTTCAAATTAATTAAGGCCTCTCAATTATCCTTAAGGCCCGTATTCTTTGTACAAATGATCGTAATAATCCCATAATTATTTTCGTTGTTTACGATTAGTTGTTTAATTTAATAAACATTCTTAAATTCTCACAGTTTAATCATCATTTTCTTCGATTATTTCGTTGATTGTTACTCTCCAGAGGATATTTATTCAATTATTATCAAATAATACAAAAATATCAGAGGATTTTTCCAGTAAAATGAAACTAGACGATTACATTCCATTTTTTAACAAAATTTTTCGCAAAATATCTAAAAAACTATTCGAGATAGCGAAATTTGTGTCAAGATCATTTTTTCAGCTCTTGAAATTCTCTATAAAAAATATCGCAACACAAATGATCGCATCTCCGACAGATAACGAGATATTCACGGAAATCCAATCCGAAATTACCTTTCATCTCGTTTGCTCGTTTATTCTCACTCCATTAATTAATAAAAATTGAATAATCATCTCCTGGAGAATAATAACCCCCAAAATCACGAACGATAATACATTTGTGACACTGAAATAATACCTGTAAACATAAACAGTGCTCGGTGAACTACAGAAAAAAAACTCATTTACAAAGTGATAAAATGTACCAGTAAAATCCCTCACACTTCCACAAAATCGTGATTATCTCATTAACGATTGGAGACATGCCGAAACGTCATAATACCTTTTTTGTGGAGAATCAAATTTCCCACAAAAAATAACTTTCACATTTTCCCCTCAGACGACTCATTACCGAGATAATCTCTGATTTAATGAAGCTATCAGAGAGGAATTGGAAGAAATTCTGAGAGAACATGCCTGAATGAATTATCTTTAGAAAGACAAAACCTCTGATGACCCCTCGTTAATTCTATCATCACAATTGTTCAATGAATTTAGTCATTACCTGGGAATTAAGAAGGATTTTTGACATTTTTTTCTGGGATTTCTTCATTTATTTAACTTTAGTTGTTTTTTTTTTAAAGTGCTTTAAACTTGCGTGTGTTCACTAACCTTTCGCGAACGTTGTTGGCTTGTCTGCGTTCTTTTTCACGCACCGCTTTGGTGCCAGGATCGTCGCAGTCTTCATCGGCGCTCGAACAACGGTTGTTCAAAGACAAAGCAAGTTAGATTTCATCTCCACATTGTTTTTTTACATTTTTAAATATTCAATTTTTCATCATTGCCATTGAAATTAATGGGGTAGAAGGGCCATATCATGAAGGTCGTGAAAGTCTGAAGGGTCAAATTACAAAATGTCCTGCTGAATAGGATTTTCTAATCAATAAAATTGTCAATTAAATTCTTCATATACTAGTGCCACAGTATTGATTGACATTAAATAGTCTCGATGGCATTAAATATCCTCGTTTGACCCTTCTGACCCCTTACGATGATCTTCATGAGCTCATTGTGCCCCAGACTGATTAAAAAAATTCATTACTGCACCCCAATTTTGATTCCTATTCTATTTTACATTCATTTGTGGCGAAAAAATTGAAGAAATAATTATGCATTAACAGAAATTAAAATTAATTAAAAGGATTGTTTATACTTACTATCGGCGCGAGCGTTTAGTCCCTTTTCCCTGTGACGTAGAGTTAACGGCTGAACCTGATATAACACCGGCTGCCAAATCACTGCTAGATGCCTTCGTCTCACCTCCACTACTGTCTGGTGGATCTTTCCTCTTTTCTAAAGAGATGTATTCTGCTAATTATTGATAATGTTTTTTTAGGTGTTCATGAGTGATTAAGTTTATTGACAAGTCACTTCCCGATGTCATTTTTCATCGAAAGAATCAAAATTAAACAAGTAAAAATAGTAAAGAACTGAGTAAAATGAATTCTAACAAAAAGCTTCCGTGAATATTTCGTGAATATCTCGGTAACGAGGGGTTTTACGATTAAATGTATTAAGACAGGTTTTGTAGCTTACGAAATTCTCTACAAAAAATGTAATATGCAATTTTTTTATGAGTTGATGCATTATCGAGATAATTGGCGAAAACCGTTGTGAAAAAAATTCAATTTCGAGATTTTTGCTTTTTTTTATCTAATTGTCTTAATGAGCGATTGCACAACAAAATGTATTTAAACATTTTTTAAAGATCACAGAATTGTCCAGAAGAATGTTATTTTTCGTTCTAAATCCACTCATTTCCACGTGAAATCCATAATTAAGAAAAACCACTGGATTAATATTTTTATTCTCAATAAAATTCTTTCTTCATCCATTCTTATTACCATTTACGGGCCCCCTGGCATTCGTGTTTTAGCACTCTTTGTCGAGCTAATGGCATATAAGTGAAAACAATCGGGTGTATAAGTGCCTACTTGACTTGATTTATCTGAATTCTCAGCTCTTGAAGTCGTGGGACTGTGAGAAAAAAATACCAGTGGATTGTCCACAGTCATTTAAGGCGATATAACTGAATCAGTATCGTTTCCTGACTCTTTAATTGATCTCTACATTGAGATTTTTATTATTTACGGACAATCCAGGGAGTCATGACCAAATGGAAAATCCAATTCGAAGGCCTGATCAGTCTCAACTTCCGGAGTTTAATTATTAATGATTTTCACTGGAATTTTTGTTTTCAAACGATTTAGGTGAAAATGATGAATGCATTTGTTTCAGAGAATTTCATAAGCTACAAAAAATGTTTAGACACTATTTCTCCTAAACCCACTCCTTCCCTTGAAAAATCAACAATAACAAAAAGGCTTTTACGTGGAAATAGATTGAGTCTGGATTTTCAAAATTGTTTTATTCATTTTATTCCCTTTATTCATCGGAAAAAAAATGAATAAAAATCCTAGTGAATGGACCCCACAGGGAATCCACTGTCAGTGGCATAATAAAGGCTGCAGGAATTCTTATACTGGTTTTGTCTCCGTGATTTATCTAATATTTCCTTATTGGGAAGACCAACGTTGGCGAACACCTGGGTAACTCTGTTTATTTTCAACTATTTATTTTTCATCCTCTTTTACAATTCCGAGGAGCATGGGAAAAAGACATTATTCCACGTGATGACCCAATAGCCATCGGAAAATGACTTGTGACAATGGAAAATTGTGAATCTACTCTACAATTTTCAATAATTAATTTTTGATTTTTTACTTACTGGCATTCGCTACTGATAGCCTCTCGATCTTGATTGATCCGTCTGTGTCGGGGGTGGGAGTTAAAACTGGATAGGATCCTTGGGGTTGAGCTACTGTCACCGCAGGATGTGGACTCGTCTGTTTTAAAAATAAAAATCAATTGATAATTTCAGGAAATAAATTGAGGGGATGTTTTTTTTCTGGTTTTGTTTTCTAGATATTTGTCAATCGACCTGATGGTTGAAGAGATGTACACAAAAATGTGGAGTTGTCATAAGGGTCAGAAGTGTCTCAATAAAATTTAATTAAATCACTAGCGAAACGGCTAAACAGTTCAAGTCGATTCAGCCCTCATGAGTTTTTGAAAAATATCTCCGAATCTAAGGGAGATAACGAAATTTTCGTCATGACCTTTTTTGTAGCCCTCAATGCGCTCTATAAAAAAGGTTATGACAAAAATTTTGCTATCTCCCTTAGATTTCGAGATATTTATTGAAATATACTGAAATGTCATGTGACTCTTCAAAAATCATGAAGTAATTAAAACGAACGTCAAGAAGGCCTCGTGCAGATTTCATAATAAAAATCAGCGAAGTCTAATTGACGCTAGTGTGACATCTATTGAAATATTCAATACGAAAATTCATTTGATTTATTTCAGGGCAATATGATCTGATCAATAAGATTTAACAATTGAATTATAGTAAACTCTGATTTGCCAATTGTGATCATCATGACAACGAGCGCAAAAATATACTTACAAGGTGGTCCATTTGACTCGGTGACGTGTGGGAATAGAGTGCACCATGAGGGCCCACGGGACCCAGATGAAGATTAACTTGGCTCTCTGCATGGTTCCTCAATACATTTATGGCATCGTCCAGTCTTTCCTCCATTCGAGATCCCTGTACCAACAGAATATCCGACGATTCGTCTCGATTACGCTGAGCCAATTAACGATAGAAAACGTGTTACTGTTGTATTCAATCATCAATCATCAAAATTCAATGAGAAATTTAAAAACAAAATGTGAATCAACCCCTTGTGCAATGAAAAATCTGTACATTTATGACTAGTTCATGTCAAATTCCCATTGTCATGAGCCAATCGTCAATTAGTCATTAATACCCAGTGGCAATGTACACATAAGTGATGATGAGGTGAATTTTTGAAGGTATTAATGAGAAAACAATAATTCAATCGAGAAATTAATTAGGACAGGAGAAGAAAAACTGTAGTGAAGGAAAACGTGATTTTCTTACCTCTTGTTAAATGCTCAATTATCTCAGGAAGGAGAGGAGATATGACAAAATAATATAAAACATTTTTTCTCGGGAATTTAATTCTGCACAAAAAAATTTTTATCGCATTTTGTCGTATTTGGGCTCGTTAATGAGATAATGATAAAAAACCATCGACGGAAATTCGAAAATTTCTTCATCGATTTTGGGACTTTTGTCAATGATTTTTGCTGATTATCTTAATTGACGAGTGGTCCGACGAAAAAATGTCACAAGAGATTTTTCGAGGGGAATTTAATTCTCTACAAAAATGGTTCAATCACATTTTTGCGTAGAATCAATAGTTCGTGAGATAATGGTCATTTAACAAGATGAGTTTTTTCGAGAAATCACGTTTCAACGATTTCACAGCGAAAATGATAAAATGATAATCGGCAATCCTCACCTCGGCGTGATCACGAAGGAAGCCGATGGCATCGTCTAGCCTCTGCTGTTCGGGCGCCGGCTTCACACAAAACACCAACGCAACAACAAAACCAAAAAAAATGGTAACACCAAATCAACAACAACGTACACAAAAAAAAACAAACCAAAAGTGAGGGAATTTTGTTCTTTTAATTTGATAAATTAAATTGATGAGGTTGAGATATAAATTTAAAATTCTGAAGAGGATTTTTTTTCACGTCTCCAATGAAATTTCGAGGGGAAAACGTGCAACGATATTTCTATTCTCGTGATTCTTTTCATATTTTTCGATTGCTGATTCAAGCTGGTGAATAATTTGTTAGTGATTTAATTGATCCTTGATGTGGGAATTCTATGTGCACATGTGAACCCAGTGATTATTAATTAATGGCTGCGGGAACTTGAAGCTTTTAATTATTGATCTTTTTTTTTTAAAGGAGAATTTGATAATTTTATTTTTTGCAGAGAAAGGAGAGCTACTCTGAGAGAAAAACAAACATGTTGTCAAACAAGTCTTATTTGTGCCAACAAAATCGCTAGTTGAAAATCGCAAAAAAAGAATTTGTTTGGTTCGAATTGGAAAGTCTCAACCATGAATAATTCTTCTGCTTTCGACAGCAACGAAATATTTGACTCAAGAGGCGGATAATTCACACCAGACGGTGTCTTTTCAGGATGAAAATATCTCATATGGAGGAAAATTTATCAACTAATATTTCATCCCTAAGTTACAAGATTGCTATCATATCATTATTATTGTTTCATTTAAGGGTTCATTTCTTGGCTGTGATTATTAGACAGTCGAAATGAAAAACTACTATCCCTTGTTTCGCAAAAAACAAAGATTTTTCGGGAGAAAAATATGTATAGGAGTATCGAATAACGAAAGAGTAGTGCTATAAATGACATTTCTTGCGTGTACAGAGAATGCAATTTTTTTTTAACTACTAAATCTATTTTTGCGACAAAAATTTTTCATTTCGGCGCACTCTCTGCATGTTTGGCACAAAAATATCCTTTTTTGATCATTTTTAAAAAATTATTTTTTTGGCACAAGCAAGACCTGTTTGAGATCGTTGTCGTTTTTCTCTCAGTGCAGTAGTTCATTGTATTTTTTATCCAATCATTTATTTTTTAAAATAATAAAAGTAACAATAAACAATCAAAGGAACATATAATTTAATCTCCCGTTTCTACCATGAGTTTTTACAGCTGAAATTATATAATTTCACACTAAATGATTGCTTCGTGTCACAAGACAGGTAAATTGTTCCATAAAGTATCCAGAACAGAATCCGTTCATTAGTTGATCTTTGCTGAAGATTCTGGATTATACAAGTCTTTTATGAAGTGTACAAATAAGTTTTAGGACACTTTGCAAAAAATTCAAAATTCATTTTCGAAAAAAAGCAACTACATTTATTCATCAAAATAATCTCCATCCTTTTGAATGACCTTCGGCCTTCTGTTAGGTAATTCACGGGTGCCTTCCGCAAAGAAAGTTTCGTCTTGCGAGGCGAGGAAATTATCAACCCATTTTTGCACTTCTTCAAATGTTTCGAATCGCACATCAGCCAATTCATTTTGCATCTTCCGAAACAAGTGAAAATTAGTTGGCACTAAGTCTGGTGAATACGCCGGGTGTGGCACAACTTCCCATCCAAGAGCCATTAACGTATCTTTGACCGGTTTACCCACATGAGGCCTGGCGTTGTCATGGAGAAATTTTACTGGACGTTTTCCTTTGCCAGTAAATGGACGTTGTTGTTCAATTTCTTGGTTCAATCTTATTAATTGTTGACGATAGCGATCAGCAGTAACTGTTTCGCCAGACTTCAAAAGTTCATAATGCAGTACACCTTTCATATCCCACCATATACACAGCATGATCTTCTTACAGTAAATATTGCGCTTCGGTGTCGATGTCGTCGGCTCGCCGGGGTTAAACCAATGATATTTGCGTTTTGGATTATCAAAATAAATCCATTTTTCATCGCCGGTCGCAATTTTCCACAAAAAAGACTTTCTATGTTGCTTATTGTAAAGATTCGGACATATGTCAAGTCGGCTATCTTTATTTTCTTGAGTCAAAAAGTGTGGCACCCACTTTGTTCCTTTTCGAATCTTTCCCATTGCGTTTAAGCGATAGGAAACGGTCTGTTGAGTTACTCCAAGCTGTTTTGCAAGTTGTTTTTCCGTCTGGCAAGGGTTTTCATTCAGCAACGCTTGCAGTTCCTGGCCATCCACCCTTACAGGGGCTCCGGTACGTTCACTGTCACTAACGTCGAAATCACCTTCTTTAAATAGCTTATACCAATACTCACATGTACTTTTAGATACAATGTTGTCCCCAAGAACAGAACAAATCGACTGACATGCTTTTCTAACAGTTTTTCCTTGATGGAATTCATAGCGAATGCAGTGTCTAATAAATAGCTTATCGGTCTGCATGTTTTATTCACAGAATTTAAGGTTGTGTTTATGACTCCCTTATGTCTTGATACTACATAACAAACCCCACCATATCATATGTAAGCGATAACTTTGAATTACTTTCATGACACGAAATCGAAGTGTTCTAAAACTTATTTGTACACCTAATATCTCTTTAAAAAAGATATTTTTTCAATTTTTAATTTATAAAAAGAATATATCCAGGCCCGGTTGCACCAAGCCCTGTTATCCAAATAAATCCCAGAGTAAAATTTATCCTCGGGGTCAATTATATCGTAGGGGGTCATAATTTTTCAATATTTGACCCGAAGAATAATTGTTTATTTATCCTGTAGCCCCATTTGAATTCACACTGATTTAACCTTAAGATTAAATTCTATTTTTTGTTCCTGGGATAAATTGGAGATACTCTCCCGGGTAAAATAATCCATCGAACATCCAAATTTACTTTTTTTCTTATCAGACGTTTTTGTTAACCAGAGCTGGTGGAACCAGGTCTCAGAGAATATCTTTTTAAAAAGGAATATAAAACAAAAATTTGTATAATCCAGGATCTTCAGCAAAGATTATCGTTGCTTCTAGCTTAAGGTTATCCCTAGCGGAATAGATTGCTGATAAAAAAGGTGACACCAATTTTTTGACACAGGAATTTCATAAGCTACGAAAAATATCTAGACACTTCTTTTCTTAAACCCACCCCTTCCCCAGATAAATCAACAGTAACAAAAAGGATTTTACGCGGAAATAGATTGACTCTGCATTTTCGAAATTGTTTTATTCACTTTGTTCACTTCGACTGTGTGATTTTGATTATTTATGGATAATTCAGGTAGTCACGGCCAAATGGATGATCTAATTATTAAATCACAATGATTTAATAGCTGATGAATAAGCTCCAAGTCCCCTCAACTGATGAATACCGAACATATTCATAAGGTGCAATGATCTTCCATGTGAAACAATTATAAGAAAGCAGAAAAAAAAATCATTAATCATGAAATAAGTCGTCGTACCATGTGAATAGTTCCACGAGTTGGGTCGGCGGTGAAGTGGGGCGACACTGGAGCTGTACCAGAGGCCCATCCTGGTGCCGCTGGTAGGGGAGGTGGTGAACCCACTGGTGTCGATGGATTACTACTGTAACTCGACACCGATTGGTCCGTTGGGTAAATCTGCCGGATCAAAAATTACAAATTTCAATTAATTGATTGATTCACTTCTCAGTTTTCCGCAGATATCGCGAGAACGCGTGGAATTACAAGAAAATACCCTCAAATCTTTTTTGCAGGGAATTAAATTTCCCACGAAAAAAGTTTAACGACATTTTTCATTATCTCCACTCGTTTACAAGATAATCCTCAAAAAACTATTGACGAAAAACTCAAATTTCGCATTCCATCTACTTTTGCTAATTTTTGTTCATTAGTTGCCGTTAATTATACCGTAAACTAGTGACGATAGACGAAAATGTCATAAAAGATTTTTTGTAAAAAATTGAATTGCCCATAAATATGTCTTGTGATATTTTTCTCTATTTCCATGCGCTTACGAGATATTTGCGAAGTAACCATAGCAGTCATGAAATTCCTCAGCAAAAACGAATTTTCCACTCAAATGAGTAATTAAGATTAATTATTATGATAACGAGGATTTTATTGAGTGAAGAGTGACGTGTTTAACGTACTCGTGTGCTTACTACAGAGGCAAGTGCCTTGCCAAGCGTCTCCTGGGCGGGTGTTTGATTGGGTGCATTTGGGGCTGTCGACGGTGCATTGGGTGCACCAGGACTGTGATTGTATTGTAGTGATGCTGGTGATGGTGCGCCAGTGCCACTAGTCGCCCTAAACGTTGACATTGGTGGTAGTGATGCTGCACTTGTCACCGCTGAGCCAAGAATTGGCGCCGCTGGCTCGCCATTAGGTGACATTGCCGAGTATGCCTTAAAAAATATTGAAATTTTCAATTTCTATTTTCCTCTCAATTTATCCTCAATTATCTCGGTAATGAGTGGTCCTACGAGAAAATGTACCTCAACATTTTTTCCTGAGAATTGAATTTCCCTAAAGAAATGTCTTCTCACATTTTCCCCTAAAACCACTCATTACTGAAATAATTGCAACGTAATGTGATAAATAATTGATTAAAAACGAAATTGATTGGATTTAAACAAAAACAGTTTTGTAATTTCGCATGTAACTCGATAGTGAGTGGATTTAGGTGAAAATATCAAAAAAGATTTTTTGCGCAGAATTAAATTCCCCATAAAAAACTTTCTATGATTTTTTTCCTCAAATCCACTGATTCCCGAGATATTTGGTAAATAATCTGCAAGTGATGAAAAAAAAATTTCTCCAGCTTCTGAATAATTTCAATATATCGAGAAATTTGAATGCAACAGTGTCCTAGGTCAAAAGGGATACCCTCCCTGCATGAATAGTGCGTGACTTCCGGTTGAAAAGTGCCCAGCCGGATGATCCAACTCGTCGTTTTCATCTCAGAGGGGCACGAGAAAACCGAACATCTGTCCCTTCTCCCTTTTCTCAATTTTTACAAGAATGACCATAGGGTGATTTTGAGAACCACTGGGCCCATGTATAACGTCAAATGACTCACTGAATTCTATATATAGAATTCCAACACCCACCCCACTGTTAAATACAGGGCGTTTTCTAGTCAAGTGCACGATTTAATGCATGTTTCATTCACCTTTTAACAGAAATTTTGCTTTTTTTTAGCAATTAGACGCATTCCAACGTCTTTGAAAAAATTCTGTGGAGTCTTCAGGCACCCCTGAAGCTTCAGAGATTGTTTATAAATTTACAAAAGAGGATTATTATTTTTTGATGCAATTTTAAAAATTAACAAAAACAAATTTCAATTGAAAAATTTCAATTTTTTGCTTTTTTAGGGAATTTTTGAGTGAATTCCATTCCCACGACCTTGAGCACTTTCTCCGAACGTTTTTAGCCCCTGGAATAGTGGGGTCAGACGAAAAAGAATGATAAAACCATAGAATTACCTTCGAAATTGCCTGAGAATGATCGAACATAACGAATCATTCCGAATGTTTTGATAACTAGTTAATTAACTTAATAATGAGTGGATGTATCGAAAAATAGCAGAGTATTTTTGTAGAGAATTTTCTAATCTACAAAAAAGATTAAGACTCATTTTATCGTAAAACCATTCAGCACCGAGATATTCTCAAAAAGCAAAAACCTTTTAAATTTTTCAATGCAATAACTTTCGTTTTTTATTCGATTGAGTGTTTATATTTTTATTAAAATGATAAAAAAATTGTGCAGTCATATGAGGGACATATCAAGGCAAATTTTCCCCCAGCTTAAACTTCACTCCATTTAAACTTAATGTAAAAAAAAAATATTTTAAAAAATAACAAAAAATTAAAAAACGCAAACTTACCATTGGATCGTGTGGTATATGCATGGGATAGGCAGGCTGCGCCAAGTGTGGCGGTGCATATCCACTGTAAGGTGGCTGCACGCCACCACTACCCGTCCAGGGGTCCCCAGGAGCTCCTCCCGTACTTCCATCTGACAAAAAAGCAAAAAAAAACCTCAATAAAATCAATAAATAGTATATTTCGATACGAGCGCGTGAAAGTGTTTTTCATCACTTGTGCGTAATGTGAAATTTTACGCACGCTCCCGCGTACTGTGTTACTAGTGCGTAAAATTCTACTTTTTCGCACGCGCATGTGACGCATCCTGTTATTTTTATACCTGCCGAGTTCCGACTAAAGCGGTTATTTTTTTTGCACTAGTGCGTAAAGTTCACTTTATGTACACTTGTGAAATTTACATATGCCCTGTGGAAAATAACCGCTCTACGCACACTAAACCGTTTCAAAAAGTGCACTTTTCAAGCCGGTACCACAAAAAAAAGCATTTCAATTTTTAAAAAACAACGAAATTCATCAAATTAGTATATTTTGATACTAGTGCGTAAAGTTCCACTTTTTCGCACATGTAACACATCCCATTTTTGTGATAACTGTCGAGTTCACTGTTTGGAACACTAGTGGGGAGGTAAAGTGGTTGTTTTTGTGCACGAGTGCGTAAAGTTCACTTTATTTTCCGTGCGGAAAATAAACGCATACTAAAGCATTTCAAAGAGTGCACTTTTCAACCAGGTATCACAAAAAAAGCATTTTACTAAAAAAAAACAACGAAATTCATCGAATTAGTATATTTTGATACGAGTGCGTGATAGTACATTTCGATACGAGTGAAGTTGGCGGCCCGATGCGAAGTCGAGGACTGCCAATCACACGAATTGAAAATCCCCGTCTCGCATGTGTCGAACAATTAAGTTCAACTAGTGGCCGAGCTATAACTTTTTCGTTTACAAGTAAACGAAAATTCTTTTCATTTACGAGCAAACGAATAGGCACTTTTCGGCACAAGATGAACGTAGCAGCAGTGTCAAAATAGTATATTATGTCATCAGGCGATAAAAGTATTATTTATCGCCTGATCGCCTTCGGCTCGGATTATAATGCCACATTCGCCAGATAATGCTTTTATAGCCGTGTGATATCGAATAGATTGCGGTTTTCGCAATCTAATCGAGCAAAGCGAGGTTAGAATCGCGGTTTGTCGGGCCTAATGACATAAAAGTGTTTTTCATCAATTGTCCGCAAAATCCCACTTTCCACACATCGTGATGAAGAATAGGGTTCGAAACTCGCAACAAGTGTACTTGGCCCGTGGGATGGAGCGCAACACACCTCCCACGGGTTAAATAACACTTTTATGCACGCCAAAGGCGAGTGCTAACCTGTCAAGGGTAAAAAAATACTTTTCCCACGTGTGTTGAACACTATTTTTCCTCACAAGCGTGCGGAAAAATTGCACTTTACGCACAAGTGAGGAAATAGTATTTTTCCGGCCTGTTGCGATGAGGTTTTTTACTCGGTTTTTTACTCGTATAGGCGGGGAGTGGCCAACCACACGAGTAAAAAAACCCCATCGCAGCAGCCCAGGAACAATATTTTTCTGTAGTGATTTTCAAGTTTAGGGGTTTGGGAAGTATGTAATACCAATTCCCAGATGAGAAATCGTGAGAAGCAGTACAGAAAATGTATTTAAAATTGCATTCGAAAAAAATGTTCCCATCCACCCACGATTATTACCCCCCTACCCCTCCCCGAGGAGCATATCGCTCCCTCGAAAACCCAAAAAAGCTATTGTGAGAAAGTCTAGAAAAAATGGGCCATTATTTCAGTTGGAAAACAACAGCAATAAGCTTCCCCGAGGAGAACGTATTTCTTGATACTTTGCTTGATGTAATTTTGCTCTCCCCCCGCCCACCCCCTCCTCACCGCCGACTGCGAAACTAAGCCGAACTACCCCCCACCCGCTGGAATGTTTCTGGGCAACGAAACTGGCATTCGATGGCTGATAAAACTTTTTCTCGCTCCGAGTTTTGCCCTTACGATCTTCCAAAAACTATCGTGCATTGGAGATGCTCTCATTTTAGTTTTTCGAGGGGGGGGGGAATATCTCGTCCTTTTTTGGTTTTGATGGATAGGTGGGGATATTTACGATTCGAAAAGAGGCTGACGACCTCTGTGAGACAAACGGTTGGGGAGATATAGGGGAATCGGGGGCAAAAAGATGAATTTGAAATTATCTAGAAGATGAGGGGAGGTAACGGGTCCTGAAGTGGAGATTCATCAGAGTTTTTGATGGGATATAGGAAAATTTGGAAGTTCATGTTAAGATAGAATTAGGTACATGAAATTATAGCATCTGAAGTTGAGATGAAATCTCAAAACTATCTTGACACAATTTTTGTTTCAAATTTGAAATTTGTCTACCTCTCTGTTGAGATATTGAAAAAAAAAATTATTCCATGTTGAGATAATATTACAGATAATTTTGAAACGTCATCTTTTACTGAGATAATTTATATTGAAATAATTAGAAGCTTCTCAATGAAGACTTCCACATTCACTGCGAATAAAGCCAATTTTCTTAGATTCAATTATCTACATTTATTGAGATGCTATCATCTCGAATCAAGATACATTTGTCTCAAAACCATCTTTTCGTGAGAAGACCCGGTAAACCGCGATTCTAACCTCGCTTCGCTCGGTTTGATCGCGGTTTACGGGCCTTCTGACGAAAAATTGCATTCATCACACGGTCCAAAAGTATTTTCTTACGAATGTGGCTTTGTAGACCGAGCCGAAGGCGAGGCCTATAATCACATTCGTCAGAAAATACTTTGTGGACCTTGTGATGAAAATAACTATTAGATGAAATTCTTTTTAGAATCTGAAATTTTACGATTTTTTCATGAGATATGAAAAAACCAGGATTGAGTCATGAAATTTGAGATGATTCAGTAGAGTTTTATATAATTTTATCTAGACAACATTTGATGTTGTTTTAGAGGACAGGGGGATAAGCCATTGCATGAGGGGAAGATGGAATCGGTAATTTCCCTGACTTTCTGATAGAATTTGAGAATTTTCGCGAACGGCAAGGGTTTTCCAGATAATTGAGGTTCCGGGATTGTCATGGTTTTAAGAGGCTTACCAAGGTAGTAGGGATCTGCGTACAGCGCTGCTGCCTTTGGAGATGTGTACCTAGGAGAGTCCTGACCAAATTCGTCTGATCCATACTGAAACATTAATTAAAGAGAAGAATTAGTTAATTGTCTATATTTCACTCACTTATCAATCAATTTTTGAAATAAATTTCCTCCAATTTAAGTACCATTTTATAATTTCCATAGTCAATAGGGCTGACGAACATTCTGAACCCTCCGAAAATTCATAAATAATTTACACTACGAGAATTTAATTCAATCCCAAATTTTCGAAGAACAAAAATTGATTTTTTCCTTCACTTTCTTTCAAATTTGTGTTAAATTATTCTACGGCCCCTCCTCGTTTCGTATTCCTTTCGCAAAGTTTTCCGGTTGTTTTCGCCCCTCAAACTCTCTCCAGAGTTACCTCCAGATTCTCAAGACTTTTGGGTCCTCAGATTGGCGTTTTGAAGAGCTGGAGAGAATGGCACTCCTGAAGGGGATGGGGTAGCGTGGGAAGGAGGTACCTAACGTGAAGACGATGACAGTAGGAATTTAACGGCTTCTCGAGAGGGCCATGAAACAATCGTCCAAACTTCACTTTTACGTGGAAAACTTCAGATTTGATCAGACGAAATTTCAAGTGACATCAACACTTTTTTAAATTATCTTTATTCTAAAATTCCAAAATGGTAAAAAAAATTAATTGCCCGAGAAAAATATTGAAAATCTCAAAAAATTCATAAACATCACTAATGAAAAATGTCAAAAATATCTCAACTCTTCCACGATTATGCTAATGGAATGAAAAAAAATTTGATCGATCGAAAGTTTTCGTTGATATTCACTAATGAATATTTCAAAAAGTTGAAAAAAATTTATTTGATAATCGTAAATTAACGTTGACACACTGGGAGACTGTACTGAACTGGCATTTCAATTTCTCGACACACACCACTAGCCCCCCAGAAGCCCAACAAGCGGGTGGGGGACGTTGGGGATTCGACCAATGGAGTGACCCACCTCGATACTTGAGATTCAGAACGATGCGATAAAACAAAGAGGGGAAAAATGAAGAGAGTTTAGAATTTATCATATAAATATAAATTTTTCAAACGTTTTAGATAACGCTCTTCTGAGGTGGATAGATGCGATAAATGCGTTCCACGGGAATTGCTGAAAATATGATTAAACAATGTAATTAAAAAATAATGAAAACCTTGGATGCAATGAGATGCAACAAATGGTGACGATTGATGGAAAAAATCAATTTTTTTTCTTCTCGTAAATTTCGAGAATTTTGAAAAAGAAAAATTTGAATTTGACCTTGATCCATTGTCGACATTCTGGTATGTTCAGTCGATGAATAAGTATCGCCGAAGTGTGTTATCAGTATCAAGAACAAAGGACTGAAAGTGTCTCTCAACGTTCAATTTTCATCATTACTCGTCTCTTTGAGACACGTACGTTGAATTTATACGTATATTTTTGGCATCGAGTGTCGCAGCGTGAGCGATATTTCACCTTTTTCTTCCCTTCGGAGAGGGAGAGAGAGAGAGAGAAAGAGAGGAGGATGAGAGAATAATATAAATGTACAGCGGTTGGATCAGAAATCTTAATATCGATGTCCAACGGCGTCAGCAATTTTTCTCCGTCCATATGAATGCCTCACATTGATTTACATTGTAAGGGGGAGTAGCCAACACTGTCTCCGTTATTTTTCTGGTCAGAATGTCTCCATATGATAGAAAACGCGAAAAAAGAAGACGTTTTTTACGATGAAGATGATTTTAGCTGCTAAAGATGTTATTCATATAAATTTAAATCGAGTCAAGATTATTTTTATTGTGTCAACATGCTGAAGTAAATATCTTGTCGAGTCAAACTCAAGGTATTTTCGAGTTATCTCAACTCGAGATAACTTTGTATGAAAAGAATTTTACCTGGAAAATTATCTGATTTGATTTTTTATTTAATCAATTGGATATGGATTGGTTTGACAAGTAAGGAAGCATATGGGAAGAGTAAAAATAATCCATCAGTAGATAATGGATTATCTCGACATTATCTCAAACATCACGGGAATGCAGATAATTTTTTGAATAGGAAATTAATCTCTCTTGAATTATTTCACGACTTGATAATTATCATTGATGATGTTAAGATAATTTGTAATTCATCTAGATAATCTAGATATAACCAGTTTAAATGACGAAATGAGATACTATATTGTAGATATAGATTTCATCAAAATTTTCATCGTTTTTTTTTTATCCCACCGTAGTAATCATCTTGAGATGAAATTTAAGATGAAGAAAATCATCTCGAATCATTTTTTGTATTTCTGAAGGAATACCTGAACTTGAGAATTAGTCACACGTGTGCGGAAATGTCATCGTAGGACCCAAGATCCAGCAAACCCATTAATTACAATAAATAAGCTACTATCCAGGTGTAACCACTCCGACAAATTTTAATTCCAATTTCACTCCCGTGGGAAAAAATTGTCAGGTCAATATTTCTCGATCTTCCGGCTTCGTCTAGGACATTATTGAGAATATAAAAGTTCCTGGGCAGGTGTTGAAACCATGCGGGTACTACCAAGACGTCACTCCGGGTGGATAAAAAAAAAGTTATTACAATTATTTTAGAAATTGCACAGGGGTATGTGCGCATGAGAAACAAAACCTTTGTCCCTTAGATACAGAGAGCTAGAAACATCGTCTATATTTAGATCACTACGTCATCACCCCTCCACCGATATGATGCGTCGCATCATGCCTCAAAGATACTTCACTCTTTGTCGATGCGAGAATTCATTTTTGATGGAATAAATTTTTTCAATTTTTAGGAGTAAAAAAAAAAGAGAATATCTGGAATTTCAAAATTAAAAAAAGAAAAAATTGAAAAATTTTTAGAATTCAAGATTGAAATGATTCAAATTGAATAATTTTTCCATTTTTCAAAATTAGAAGTTAGAATTTGTTGAATTGAAAAAAAAATTATTTATGCAATAAAAACTCCTTACGATCATGACTTCGCCTACTAGTTCCTGATGGAATTATGTGGGATAGTTATTGCGAAATTATTCGAAACGTTTTTTCCCTTTATTTTAGAATTTTTTAAAGCAGAGGAAATGGAAGATGCGTGTTTAGGGTTTGAAGGCACTTCCGGCTCGTTTTTTAGAGTCTGTGGGAAGCAATTTAATGGTTCTCAGGGGTTGACAGTAATTACTGGTCACCTGGACTATAAAACAATTATTCAAAAAATTATTTTACAACGAATTTTATTTTAAATAATGAACGTAAAAATCTTTGTTTTTGTTACAATGCGTTCATCTCAGTAACGAGTGCTTTTACGAGAAAAGTCTACTAGACCTTTTTTATAGAGGCTTGAGTTTGAAAGAAAAAAGTCTTTAACACATTTCGTCCTGAACCCACTCATTAACGAGATAATTCGCCTGAAGAAGACTGAAAAAAATTATTCTATTACGTTCTATACTTCACTATTCAATTCCACAATATTTTGAGTCTCATATAGGTGTCATTCAATATGTCACCGGATCCCCAGTTATTGCTGACAATTTGCTCATCTATCCACCGTCGCATATCGAATGCAAAAGCGAAATAAATCCAAGCAAAAAAATTCAAAACAGCAGAAAAAATGGGGGAAAAAAACGAATGAAGCGCGAAAAAATAATTTGAAAAACGATGAAACTCTGGGTCAGTGGCATCGGAAGGAAACCGGAAGTTACGGATGCGAGGTGGGGTAGAGGATAGAGGATAGGGTTGAAGAATAATTCTGCTGGTGCATCGAGAATGCACCCAGGTGTTCATATGAAATTCTGCGTGTGTGGTTTTGTCACTGTCCTCCTCTCTCCTCATAAAAGTCGTCGCCTACATTATTTATCAGATCGTTTCGTTCAGATACGTTCTCCACCTTCCAACGTCGAGTATTCATGATGCCAATGTAACCGACAATTAGCGTTCGATAATGTACGTGATCGTTGTGAGCGATGAGATGAATTTTTCGTTTTATATTCATAGCGAGTTTTCAAAACAAATTAAGTGGAGTTAATTGAATAGTTTTTTTGTCGTTTTTTTTGTTGAATGGGTGCGGTAATTTGCGAGCCAAAAAGAGGCTGACGATGTCTGTTGATGAATTAGTTCTGGAGAAATGCGAAGTAATGAAATCTGGGTTCATTTTTCATGAGAAAAATGAAAAATCGAAGTTTGGTGTTGAGATAAAACTTTAGATTATTTTAGTGTTTTTAGCTTATTTTGAGATAATATATTGGACTATCTCGAAAAATAGTCGGGGAATATCATGGAAAAATGGAGCATTCTCGGAGAAGGAATCTCCATTTTTCCCATTAAATTATCAAAGTCAATCAATGGGAATTATCTTCGATGAAGATGTTATCTCAGTATTATCTCAACATCAAGTTTTGTTTTGAATTAAAAATTTTTGTAATTTTTTTTTTTAAATTCGCAAAACATTGCCAAAGCCTCAGGAATTCTCCACCATTTTTTTACCCTTCAATTCCTTCCTTCAACGCACGATTTACTCTGGCTCGACGGTTGTTATATTAATTGGCCCGCAAGATCGTTAACACAGCTCTCGCTCCACATTTCTCGAATCTCAGCAGAGAGACCCAACGAAAATAAATAAATCATTCAGAAAAAAAAAGAAAATGAAGATAAAAAGCATCTCTCACTCGAACAAAATCCGACCATTTCATTCCGAATTGCGAAGAATCTTCACAATGTTATTCCCCGTAATTACATTTTTTTTTCTCAATAATAAATTGTTGCTGAATTTCGTAAGGGCAGTTGCCACGAGTGAGTGAAAAAGTTGCCGCGAATGGGAACAAAAAGATAAAAAAAAGAAATAAAAATAAGATAAAAATCCGATAAAATTGTAAAAATGTGAGAGTCGTGGCGAGAGTCCTTCGGTCGTATAATCGCGCCAATTAGGTCGGTAGTAATTAGGAAAATAAGATACAAATACCAGAGAAGTCACCCAACCCCTCTAGATGATGAAAAAATATCCAGATTCTATTTAATCTAGATTTTTGTCATTTTCATCTTTTT